ATTTAACTGTGTATTTTCCAGTTTCATTGTTCTTGAGCATAGTCTTTGCTATTCTTGGCACTATAATAGTATTTCCATATAAACTTTAGAATTCACATTGTTTTTCTTGTATTTATCTTGTTTTTTGCTTCCATGACTTGAATCATTGGATTGATAATTTTCATCTGTTTAAAAACAAATGGACTGTCATTATTTAATTGCTGTATTTGCTCTTTTCTTTGTCTGTTTTCCTTCTGCAAAATTATACATTACTATTTCTTTTATTATGTCCCCATGCTTCTTACTTTTTTTTATTGTGTCTTTCTATGCTTCTGTTTTGCTATTTTTATACACTTGTTTTTTAAGTTATCTAATCCTGTCTTCTGCTTATTAAATCTACTGATTGAATTCTGATTTTTTGATATGGTACTTTTCTTTTTGTAAATAATTTCCAAGTTTTAAAAAAATTGCTAGAGAGAGCATGCCCCTACCAGAGAAAGATACAGAGAGTGAAATACGGAGAAAGCATGGTCATACCACAATCTCTTCTCCTCCATTTCTCCATTGTGTCAGAATTTTGGGCACACACAAATGCATGTTTAGTGTGTTTTTCAAATTGCTGGAGCCAAGACATGAATCATGGTGGGCATCGTGGGATATGACTTATCTGAACTGCCAGGGTACAGGGCCAGTTCCCAATTTATTCTTTATAGATTATTTTTTCTGATGAAATTCTTTATAATTTATTTTTTTCTATTCATCGCTCCCCCCACTTTTGTTTTCTTGAACATATGAGCCATATTAAAGATTTTGTCTACGAATTCTGATGTCTGGATCACCTGTAGGTCTATTTCTTTATTTAATGCTTTTGTTTTTGTTTATAATCTTCATTTTACATTTATGGTCCTACCTATTCATGTGCATAATGACATTATTATTATTATTATTATTATTATTATTATTATTATCAGAGAGAGAGATTTTTGCTAAAGGGTGTGTGTACTCGCCAGAGACACAGAAAGAGAGAAAGTGAGAAATTATTGTCTCACGGAGAGGGAGGGGATGGCCATGCCACAATGCCTTCTCCTCCATTCTCCTCTCAGTATTTTGGGCATGCACATACATGTGCCCGGCATGAATTTCAAGTCACCAGGTAAGGGACTTGAACTGTGTTCAGCCATTTGGGAGTCCCACAACTTAAACACTATGTCAAATTTCAAACATTCAAACAACTATGCAGCTCCCATAATGAAGCCATTCCAAAGGCTTCATTTTTTTCTTTTCCATGCAGATAATGTGGAAGAGTTATCACCTTAATCCCATAAGGGACTGAGCTGAGTTATAGTTTTTGGTTAAATCTGCACTGTCTCTGCTATTCTCTTCTAACTAGGACATAGCTCTCTAGGGTTTTAAACTAATAGCCTGGCATGTCTTCCCCCTGCCCCCACTGAGAGACTGCAGAAAAAGGCAGTTCAGCTTTTCAAAGATTTCATATTAGTTTTTGGCTTCATCCTCTATGCAAATTCAAAACTCAGCAATTGTATCGAGGGAAGTAGCAGCAAAGAGTTTGAGACTTTTTTTTTTTTAGAGGTTTTAGCTATAGGGTGCCTGCGCTCACCAGAAAGACAGAGAGACAGAGAGACAGATAGCGAGAAATCACCCCCCAGGGGGGACGGCCATGCCACAATCCCTTCTCCTCCATTCTCCTCTTGTGATCTTGGGCACACATGCACATGCGCCCAGAGTGAGTTTAAGCCACCAGGTCCAGGACTCAAACCGCTGTCGACTACATGAGAGTCCAGTGATATAGCCATTATGCCAACTGCTGGTCCCCAAGTTTGAGACTTTATAGAGCTCTACTTTTATCATGTAACCCAGTATGAACATCGAAATAATTGTTGAATTTCTTCTATCCACCACTATAAGCCCTATGCCTGGAGCCAAACTTAAATCCAAGCTGCGATTCACAGCCATAATTGGAAAATGCCTCCAGGGAAGACGCTGCAGCAGGTCACAAGTTCATCTAAAATTCTACAGAATTTCAGTCTCTTCAATCCTTATTGTTTCTACAGTTACAGGTTTTCTAGTTGCTCTTGAGAACACTGGTGACCAATGAACAACTCGGTATTACCCAGAATGGAAGTAATATTCATGTCATTTGATAGCAAATTTGTTAGGACAAAAATCTAGAAGTCACCACTGAGTGTTCTCTTTCATAATACTCTGTATATAATTCATTGGGGGATCCTGTTGGATCACAATAAACCCACAAGCAGGCCTTTCTTTTTTTGGAGAGGTTTTTGTTCTAGGGCGCATGCAATTGCCAGAAAGACAGAGACAGAGAGACAGAAAGCGAGAAATCACTCCCCAGGGGGGATGGCACACATCTTGGGCATGCATGCACACACACCCGGCGTGAGTTTAAGCCACCAGGTCCAGGACTCCAACCGCAGTCGACTACATGGGAGTCCAGCAACATAGCCATTACGCTAAATGCTGGTCCCAGCAGGTCCTTCTCTTCAATCTGATCTGAGCCATTATCATCTCATCTATCACCTGAAAAACTACAATAACCTCCTAACTAGACTTCTTGCTTCTATTCTTCCTCTACTTATATATTTTAAAAATCTCTAGTAATTCTCTCGTTTTTATTTACATTTAATCACTGTACATTTTTATAGCATATGATATGGGTTCTCAAAGCATAAATGCATTTAATACCAAGCAAGTCAAAGATATGACCATATATCATAACTTTCCAAAAACATAACTCAGACATTGACATCCTTTTGTGCAAGATATTCCTTTCACTTACCATATCCCCTCAAAATGTAATCTACAACCCTTAAGTGCCTTATAGGAGTCTAGATAATCTAGTGCCTCTTTGGTCTCACTCATCCCTGGAGCTTCCCCCCTTACTCTGAACAGCCACATTGATGACTTTGATGTTCTTTGAATAAACCAGATAATTATCTGACTTAAGGCTTTTCCCTGGCCATTCCTTCTACCTAGAGAGCTAGTTCCTCAAACAACTACATTGTTTTTTGTTTGATTTATTTATTTATTTATTTATTTATTTATTTATTTATTTATACATTAAATCACTTATTTATTTATTTATTTATTTATTTATTTATTTATTTATTTATTTATTTATTTATTTATTTATTTATTTATTTATTTATTTATTTATTTATTAAATCACTATGCATCATTTAGATTGTGAAGAGACTTTACCCAGCATGATATACACCTCAGTCCCACCCAGTTGAGACCACCATACACATCCTCATCAACAAATAATAAACCTTATCTGTGTCCCACAAGTGTTTTACCTCTCCATTTCCTAACTCCTTTCCTTCCTTAAAATTTCTGCTCAAATGTCACTTCCAAAAAGATGGGGTGATCCTGATCACTTTACTTTCCATTTCAGTGGTGACACCTATCCTCCACCTCCATGTCTACCTCTGTGACTGATTTCCCTTATTTTGCAGTACATTGATGTTTTCCCATAGCACTTCCAACTTTACAGCATACTTTATATTTTTTAAATTATTGTCTATTCTATCTTTCACAATCACCCTTCTCTCTATAATATAAGCCTCACAAGGGCAGAAGTTTTTGTTTTATTTATGGATGTGTTCCAAGGTCCTAGAATAGAACCTGGCACATATGAGACAATCTATAAATATTTTACAATCAAATGATTGAAAAACAAAGTCAGACATAATTACGTGGGTCTTTTCAAATGCACTTTCTACTCCAAAATACTGAGCTAAATCTAATTTAGGCATGATCAACACAGATCTTGGTATATTACTCTGATGATTCTCTATATGAAATGTACTCTGAAATTCTGAGATTCAGAAATTAACTTAAATTCTATTCAATTTTTATTTTTCTAATTTATGTGAAATAGGCTATGTATTTACTCTTTTTTCTAAACAATTTATAGCTACTGAGAAAGGCAGCATTCTCAAAAATGAGTGAATCTCTAGAGTCTCTTCCATTTCCTGTCGAGAACTGGGCAGAGGTATATGAAGATGCTGGTAGAAGAGAAATTTTTAAAAATATAAACACATTCTGTTTGAGAGAATTTGTCCTTAAGAAGCTGCTTCTATATTCAGTGTCAATTCTGCCTTGCTCAGAATTCTGGATAATTAGGAAACAGATGCTAATTTTTCAATTTGATTATCAGAGGAATTAGTCTAAAATGACAAAATAAGGTTTGCTCCTTGGAAAGAAAAGGGTAAGTCTTCTCCTTTTGATCAGTTAGTACTACTCAATGCCACCCCTAACTCACTCCTGTACCAACCTTGATTAAAAGCCTCAGCCTAGGACACTCCCAGTGGACAGAATAGGATATGTTAAGTTTCTTTTAGAAGAAGATCAGGCAAACAAAAAGCAAGAAATACATACAGCTTCCAAATTTCAGTGGGCAGGCATGCACGTCCATGGGAAAATCTTCCAAATGCATGGGACACTCAGCATGGATTGTTAACCTAAAAGAAAGGAGAATAGAAAATGACATTAAGCTAAAAATAAGTGTCATTAAACATGAGGCTGAGTTCCTACTCAGCAGCAACAAAAGTGCTCCCAAGAATTATAGGGGATTTTTTTTGTATAGGTTCCCTAATATTTAAGGATGCTGGTAGAAGAGAAATTTTTAAAAATATAAACACATTCTGTTTGAGAGAATTTGTCCTTAAGAAGCTGCTTCTATATTCAGTGTCAATTCTGCCTTGCTCAGAATTCTGGATAATTAGGAAACAGATGCTAATTTTTCAATTTGATTATCAGAGGAATTAGTCTAAAATGACAAAATAAGGTTTGCTCCTTGGAAAGAAAAGGGTAAGTCTTCTCCTTTTGATCAGTTAGTACTACTCAATGCCACCCCTAACTCACTCCTGTACCAACCTTGATTAAAAGCCTCAGCCTAGGACACTCCCAGTGGACAGAATAGGATATGTTAAGTTTCTTTTAGAAGAAGATCAGGCAAACAAAAAGCAAGAAATACATACAGCTTCCAAATTTCAGTGGGCAGGCATGCACGTCCATGGGAAAATCTTCCAAATGCATGGGACACTCAGCATGGATTGTTAACCTAAAAGAAAGGAGAATAGAAAATGACATTAAGCTAAAAATAAGTGTCATTAAACATGAGGCTGAGTTCCTACTCAGCAGCAACAAAAGTGCTCCCAAGAATTATAGGGGATTTTGTTTGTATAGGTTCCCTAATATTTAAGTCTTTATGAACACAGAGAGTGGACTAAATGAACCAGATAGCTTCTCAAAGCAGCATTCAATTTTCATATTTTTAGGCCAGATCTGAATGCCACCCTATCACCTTGAGAAAAGCGAATACAACTTATCTGCCCTAACTGTACTTCCTTAGCCATCTCCCAAGAAACTTGGAAACACCAGATTCTGACTCACTCACTCCTGATCACAGTTTAATTATTTCTGAAATAATTCTTCTCAGCAGGCTATTGTGTGAGTTAACCAATTCAACGATTGTACTGGAGAAAAGAGATGTGTAAAAAGTTTCTTTACTCTGATAACGAACAAACACAAAAGATTGCTCTGCTGCTCAGAGACCATTGAAGTTTTGTTAAAAGAGAAGGCTCTTAGAGAACACACACACACACACACACACACACAGAGAGAGAGAGAGAGAGAGATAGAGAGAGAGAGAGAACTGATCATGTCAGAAGAAAAATACAAAAGTAGTGGAGGACATCAGAAACTTCAGAAGTCAAATCTGAAGAGGCAACATGTGGGAGAGGTTATACATGGATTCCTCAATGGAAATCAGGAAGGGGTATGATTTTCCATCTCCACATACTCATTTCTCTCTATTTAGTCTCTCTAGATAATCTCTTTGGGGCTGTTTCTGTGGTGCAATGGTTATGTGCTGCTCAAAAGAAGCCAGATTCCACATGGCACATGGCACATGGCACATGGCAATCATGGCTCGTATCCACAGCCAGGTCAACTTGAAACACACCAGGCAGGCACGCAAGTGCCCATGATACAAAGGGCTAGAAGACTGGAGGAAGGGGATGACAGTGTGACCAGACTCTGTGGAAGGTACTCATACATCTCCTTTCCATGTGCATGTGCATATGCTCTATCATAAATAAGTAAGCAAGAAAAGAAACAAATGGATTAATAAATAGTGAATTCCAAGGTTACTTCTCTGTTTTTTCTTAAATGTTCTGAAGCTCAACTTTCCTTGGTCTAGTAAGCAGCCTCCTACGTGGAATTGGGACACGCACAGCAAAAATTTAGAGTACATTGGAATCTTGCTCTGATGAACTATTTCAATCTCAACTTTTTTATACCTCTTGGTTACATTGAATCTGACCTCTTATCCTCTTGGAGTTCTAATAAGTTGAAAAAATTGATCATCAATATTATGGTCATTTATTCCCCCAATAGCTTCTTAACTTAGACAAGCACTTCTAGTCATACTGTTTTAGGACCTGAGTATTCCTGCTTAATAAAACACCACTTTACCAGAATGAGAGGAATATGTCTCAAAGAAAAAGCACTTGTTGAGTCAATAAATAAATTAATGCCTATAAGGAATCTCATGTGTGGAGTCTCCATTTCCCACTCCCCTCAACCCCACTGCTACTGTTACAGTGTCAGAATAGAAGACACTAACAAGTGTACATCCCCAGGCTGTTACTGCCCAACAATGCTTTTTGGTCAGTGAGGGTAAGATACCAAGATAACTTAAGTTCAAATTACACATATTCATCTGTTTAGTAAGGCCTAGGAGAGTCAATTTATATTACTATTATGATGATGAACATTGCTAATAATCCATGAAATACTCACAGCATGTTACAACTTCTAAAGCACATTTTCATCAGTAATCTCATTCAGGCCTAACCCTAACATTTGTGGTGTAGGAACTTTGGTTGTGTGGAATGAAGGATGCTATTGGATCGTTGGGAGTCATGATGCATTTTTTGCATAGAAAAACAGAAAAATACATCATGAGTTGCCCAGTGACCTAATATTTTTCCCATTTGTTTCCCATAGTGATTCTGTGAGGGACACAATACAGGTATTATTATCATCCCTACTTCACGGACAAGAATTCCTGGAGTTAAGGTCATACAACCTAGAAAGCTGGGGTACAAATACAGTGTTCTTTTCATGTTAGCTGTCTTCTATTCATTGGAGGGTAAATATCTCCTCAGCTCCTTAGGAATCTCTCAGTTATGTGAGAAATGTTCTGATTATCTCTGGGTATCTTTGAGAAAACATATCTAGATCTAGATCTAGATCTAGATCGATAGCCAAGAAAAGAAGGAAGAACTAGAGGCCGGAGCCACAACCTCTGCCCTGGCAGTGACTACTGTTAAGAGTAGGAGGAAGATAACATTCACAATGGCTATTAACACAGAGAAGCAGTTAAGTACATTAGCCTGGGTACAGTCAGGGTGCTATTACAGAAAAAATGCTTCAAGGGGCATTGAAAGTTATAGCTAGGTGGAGAAAAAGAGGGAGGGCAAGAAGAGAAGATAATATTACATAGAAGATCAAAGAGCATCAGATGTGTTTAAGAATCAACAAAGAGTACAGAATAATCTGGTTTGTGCAGTACCCTGCCCCCTCAAACATTTGCTTTGTCCTTTCTGCTCTGGGCTTAGATGGGATGGGGAATGAGGGAAACTGGATGAGGAGGAACATAGGAAAGTGATTATAAATCAGTTCTACTCCTAATCAAAAATCACTACCTTTGCATTCTGCCTTGATAATCTATTTGTTATGGTATTATTCTCCACCTCTCCATGATTGCTAGATAGACATAAAGTAATTTCCCCTTGGCATTACTCATAAAAGGCAGTATCTTGAAAATAATAATATAAATGGAGAGAATACAAAAGTAGTAGAGGACATCAGAAATACAATTTTCTTTATTAAACCTTCATGGAATCTTTTCAGTATTAAATAAGGAACAGGTTTCCCATGAAATACATTTCTCTTGTGTCTGGTTTTTTGAGAGATGAAACCGCCTTTATATCTTAAGAGTAAAAGTCAAATTGATAGGATATTTCAGGATCGCTTGAGAATTGAGCTTTTGTCCAAGATGCACAGGAAATTTTGTAAATATTCAAGGGATTAATTAGGGCTGCAAAGATACTTGCCATCCAGTTCCAACCTCTTAATGTTTAGATAGGGATACTGAAACTAAGATATAAGTATTTACTGAAGGGTACACACAAGGTTTCTAACTTTGAGCCTGGGGTTCTTGCTAATACACACCCTCATACATTTCCTTTATTTATGTATTTAAATAATTATTTATTATTTATTATTTTTTATTTATTATTATTATTATTGTTGGTGTTGTTTTAATTTGCTATAGGGGATGTGTATTCAGCAGAGAGAGAGAGAAAGAGAGAGGCAGAGAGAAAGTGAGAAAGCAAGCCACTAGGTCCGGGACTTGAACCGTGGTTGGCCATATGGGAGTTCAGCACCTTAACCACCACGCCTCCTGCTGGTCTCCCACATTTGCTTTGGTTAGCTTGCACTGAGCAATATCCATCTCTGCTACCTTAATCATTGTGAGGTTGGTACACATTCATCCACTGGCAAGGAAGGGAGATGTGGATAGATGGCCATGTACAGACCGGCTGACAGAAATTGACCTGAGCTTGATCTCCCTCCTAAGTCCTTCCATGGCAGTGTTTGTTAGCCTCAGTTTCAGCAATCATCCAATGATGATATCTAAGTTTTTCTTCCAAATAGTTCATTTTTCAATGTCAGTAAAACAATGTTCTTCCCTAGCCCTGGAGGCTGATCAGGTCAGTGATAGAACACGTTGACTCTAAAATAAGGAGTCAATGCCACAGACACGGAATGACTCCAAATAAGTTCTGATGTGCATTAGAGCATCTTAAACCTAAAAGTGTAGAGCACGTGCATCTATCTTCAGTCATGATGCTAAAATGCATTTATTACTCTATCCAATTATACTGTTTACATCTACTTTTTTCTAGGTCCATTCTCTTGCCTAATCTCACTGCAAAGAACTTGTGCTCATACATTCATCTAGCAAACATTTATGGAACACTCATAGCACATCAGACAAGGTATATAGACTCCACTTTAGATGAGCTTACTGTCTAAAAGGACTAGTATGCATGTTTGCAAATTGTCCTAACACAAGGTATCAAGTTCTGTGACAGATGCTATGGATACACTGAAGATTAAGAAAATATTATGCTTCAAACCATTACAGAAGATATTAAGGAACCAAGATCACCTCACATAAAGCTAAAATAATTAAATAGGGGAGGCAAAAAAAAAAAAGTTATTCCAAAGACTTTTACATATGCTAAACCACAAAGGCATGATGAAATCTGGCCTATTTGTGTTAAGGTCTGAGATCCAGGCGGGCTAGCAAGAAGAGCATAAGGGTGTATTAAGGTATCTGGAGCCAGATCCTGCAGAATTATGGGCTTCACACTAAGCAAGATCAACTCCCAAGGTCTTGCACTAACAACTGGCAAATTTAGATGGTTCTTTCAAAAAAGATCATTCTAGGAGCCGAGGCAAGAGTAATGTTTTTTGGTAGCATCATTTATCTTGCAAGGTAACTCAGTGGTCACAGCTTGGAAATTATCATTTAATTTATAGAATTATGAACTGATGGGTGACAATCTAGAGTAGCATATCAGTGAAGTGGTTATTACTACAGTTATAGTTAAGATAGAAAAGGATATGAACCAAGGATTAGCAGTGGAGATGGAAACATAGCAAAAATATTTAGAAGGAAAAAATAAGTGAGACTTTGTAATTAGAGACTGGACTTTTCTCAACTTTAGTTTCCTCACCTGTGATAAAGAATATAGCCCCAGCTAAGTACTACTTTATATTATGTTCATTCTGCTCACTGAGGTTTATGCCTAAAGTCAAACTTGGGTTCATGTATATGTATATATCAGCTGTGCTTGCTATTGGAAATATTTAGACTAACTAAGTTCATTACCAAATCAATTAAATGGGGGAAAAAGGCATAGAAAGCAACCATGGATACCAGAGACAATCTGGGAGGAGGGTGGGACACAACAGAGGGTGAGG